AACTTGCCGTCCCGTCTCTAAAACTTTGCTTCAAGATCCAAAGGCAAGTGTTGGAGTATTAGCTGTTGCAAATTAGGCCGAATGATCAGCTTGTTGGCGTTGCCTGAGGCATGGGCCGTGATGAATTTGCGGCATCTGGCATGGCACCTGGCCAGGCGTTGCAGGGTTTCTGAAAGAAGGGCTGGGTTTAGAATTATGGTTTAGCTTGCCGTGGTGCTGCCTTAGGGTTCAGGGTTTAGGGTAAAGTACCACTCTAATAGGTGCTGCACAAGTACCTTTGCCTCAGAAGCAAGGCTAGGACGGAAGGGTTCTGATGGATAGAGCATCTTGTCAGGCGTGCCTAAAAAGTTTGGTGTGTGTTTTGATTACGAATTAGGGTAAAAGGGCTTAGCCGTGGTGCTGGCACAAGTACCATTCGGGTGCTGCACAAGCACATTCTATTTCGTGAAGCAGTAGGGCTGAAGAGAAACAGAGAAAAACAGTTCTTCCCTGATACAATGCCAGGTATAGAGCCTAAGAAGGTTCAGTGAAACTAGGATTTTTCCNNTACATATCCCGAAGCACTTTATGGTCAAAGGGACGAGGACAGGTACTTCTGCAGCACCTTGGCGATAATTAATTGGTAACTCAGCATCATGATGTGGTAATTCAGCATCACCACAATCCCTAAACCCTAAACTCCGAAACTATATTAGATTCCCCAGACATAAACTGAGGCTCGGATCCTGCGACATTTCAGTGGCCTGCACTCCGCAAGCACTGCCGTGGCCTTGGCTTCATCCAGGCTATGCTGCAGCTGACCGGACATGTGGCTTAATGTTACACACACGCACAGGTTCTGCAGTAAGTGTTGATTCAGCGCGTGTACCGGATCTAGTCAAAGCGTGCCACTCAGTTCGAACCGTTGTCTTCCGTGCGGTTCAAGTGACATGGGCTGTGGCAGTGTTCGGGAACCCATAGACAAACCTGGGATGTTTGGCATGAGTCGTCAGAACCCATCAACACCATCTTAGGCTTTTGACCTAGAGACCCACGCACAGCCCAGCCGCAGCGGCAGCAGCAGCAGCAGCAGCAGCAGCAGCAGCAGCATAAGCGGCACTAGCAGCGTAAGTGGCACCGGCAGCATAAGCAGCATAGCAGCAGCAGGCAGCATAGCAGCAGCAAC